GTTCTAATAAGACATGAAAACATTTGAACTTTACCACTCAAAGAAATAAAGTGTCTGAAATTGGAGGGCCTGAAGTCCTGCAACCCACCGCAGGACTGAGGCCTTCCAAGGTGACATCTCTGCGTTAATCAGCAGATTTATGGTGTTGGTCTTTAGTTTAGGAAAGAAGCTTTCAGGCTTCTTCCCCACAAAGACAACAACACATTTTTTTTAAACTGTTATAAACCAGAACACACACACACACACTCATGCTTTAAAAATATCGCTTCTTGTTCCTGACTGAGCTAATTAGCACAAACAAAGCGAGTAAAAAAAGCACGTTAGGCCCAGATTACACAGGTCATAACTTAAAATAAAGATTAAAACAAACGATACCCTATTTTTATATTATGGCGCATAGTGGTAACAAATAGGGCGATTGTCTTCAAGTCGCGGAGCAAATTCGCCAATGGATTGTTGTTTGACTGATACATGCCCACTTTGATCCTTTCTTCAAATAATGATTATGGTATATTTTAAATGAACAAAAAGTTATTTTTATTGACTTAGTGTGCGTTAAAATGAAACATTTCTTTCGCCGTAGGAGAGAAAAGAAGCGCGTCTTGTGCGTAATTACGCACAGGAGCGATGATAAATGAACGTTGTGGTATTTAGGGAAAGTCAGGAGCCCCTGAGTTTATGGTCTCACATACCTGTCCGTTCTAACCTGCTGTGGGACAGACTGCTGTGCTGCTGGTAGGACATGTAGGCGGACGGGGGGTGAGTGTTCATCGGGCCTGGGTAGGAGTAGCCCAAAGAGGGGCCATAGGACGAGTTGCCTGCAGGAAAGGGACCTTCGTGCTGGGAATGGCCGGCAGCGTGTAAGCCATGGACGGGGTAAATGTGGGAGAGTCCCGGGGAGTGCTGCTGGTGCCCCGAGTGTCCGTGCGCAAACTCTAGGAAGGCCGATTTGGAGGGATCGGAGCCATTCAGATTATCAGACACGAAACCCATAGACATCATTAGCTAATACACAAGTCCATCAAGGCGTCGCTCTGAAGAAAGATTCATGTCAGAAAGCAAAGAAGAACAGGAACAAATCCGCGGCTGAATCCAACCAAAACAAGTCGGCGAAAAGCAACTCCGCGCGGTAAAACGTCCCGCCGCGCATGTTCGCAGGTGTTCCGGGAGGAGAGAGAGAGAGGGGAAAAAAACAACGGATAAAAGCGAAAGGTATCCCGGTTTACATCAGAGCTGACACGGTTCTTCAAAGAGCTGCAGCCTGCAGAGGCTCAAACACACGCAGCCGAGCATCAGCGCGCTCTCTGATTGGTCCACGAGCTGCCGGCTGTCACCAGAGCTCCTCCATTAACCTTCATCAGAGAGGAGATGAAGCTCCGCAGACAGCAAGCACCTCCTCCCATCAACACACACCACTAGGGCAGGTAGACCCTCACTATTTAAAAACAAATGAAATGAAATAAACTGATTATTTACTGCTGGGGGAAAAAAATCACCTGAGTGCAAAACATTGTTTTCTTTCAGTCATTTTCTAAAACTTCAAGACATGAAGTTAAAACTCACTTTGTTACATAAGTTCGTTATGAAAGTGAATTCATGTTAATTAACAATTAAAGTCAAATTAAATGCAAATGAATCAGGTTATTTTTTGTTTTTTATTTGTTTGATTTTTAACTTTATTTGCTGCGAAACTGGTTTAACTTTATCTTTAAAAAAGCTTAACTTAAAAATGTTGTCAAAGTTTTATGGGATGCATTTTTTAAAATTAAAACAACAAATTTGGTAGTTTTTTTCCCCCAAAAAATAATCCTGTTTGTAACTCCTTTATTTATCCAGTGAAAAGTCTTCTTGAAATTAAAAACGATTTTAAACAAGAACCCTGCCAAGAAGGCAGTAAATTACCCAACAAACTTGAAACAATAAAAATATATTTTATTCAGCAACTGAACAGAGCATCAACACAATCAAAAACACTCACTGTGAACAATTTTTTTCTCTGTTCTTTAAAATCGATTTAAATTTTATCAGTTCACAGAATTTTAAGTCTTATAAAAACTATTTCAGAAGACTGTGGCAGCTTATTTAAATGCTTTTAATCACTTTTTCTATTTTGTTAAAATCATTTAACAAATAAAACTTGTCATTTTTTTAGGAAAAACTTGGAATTTTGTTTCTACAATTTAGTCACTTCTTTTAGCCTAACATAAACACCAAAAATAAAAACAAAAACACTGTTAAAATTAACTGAAATACTATAATGTTGTTTTTTCCTGTCTAATCTGTTCCAATTAGATCTTCTTTAATGTGGCAGAGAATAATTAAAAGAAAGGCACGCACAAAAGAAAGTAAACAAGTTCAGTTCGAGTTCAGTCCTCGTTCTTAACCTCAGCAATTTAATTAGTCTTATCGGGACAAGATTGTACAGGAAGCCTGCGTAAATGTTAGTGAGTCTTTAATAGTGAGATGGATGTTGTGTGTTGCTTTACACAAAAGCATGTGAGGCTTGAATCCAAAGGAACTTCTTTGTGGAAAATATTTAGAAATAAAGAGAAATAAATCTCATATATATAT